ACAGACATAATGTCCTTATTTTCCAGGGACAGTCCCAGATTTACAGAAGCTGTCCCGGTTTCTGATTTGATCCTGGAATGTCGTGCTTTTCCTTAGGAGGGTGTCCCTATTTTCATCGGAGAAATGATGAAGGGTATGGAGCTATGTGACCCTTGAGCTAAGGAGATAAGTAACTATACAAATTTTAGAAGACATCTGAAGGCAGCCCTGTATAGGGAAGTTGTTTTTAATGTTTAATGTCTTATTATGTTTTTATATACGTTGGAAGCAGCCCAGAGCAGCTGAAGCAACCCAGTCAGATTATTATTATTAGTAGTAGTAGCAGTAGTATGGAAAAAGACGTCCCTATTTTCATTGAAGAAATGTTGGCGTGTGTACTCTGAGTAGGACTAGGGTTGGCTACCGCCCAGTGTCAAGGACTGGACCAGGCTCATGTCAAGCAGAGGCCAAAGTGGGCTTGAATACTGCTGCTCTCAGTGCTCCAGATCAAGCAGTCCATATGGGGAGGTCCTTCAGGTTCCTCTGATCCTCCGAGGTTGTCAGAGGTCTCTAATCGCATCTTGCTGCCTTGAGATGGGCATGGCACCTGCCCTTTCCCAAAGCACCTCCTGCCCCAGACAAGTTTTGCCTCACAGTGCTGAACTAGGACCACAGGAAACGGCCATCTCCCTGTGCCTCTGATACATGCAAAGTCATCGCTGGCACAAGTCAGATGTTCTGCTTCAGCCACAAGTCCCCCACTCTGCGTGTCAAATGATGTAGGGGAAATTGAGCAAGCTCTGCGCCGAAAGGAAGTGTCCATGGAGAGGCTGAATCAGGTCTGAATGAGACGGAAGGATGGGAGACAGAAGCCAGCTCTACTCAAGCTAAACACTCACTGGAAAGGGATCAGGAATGCAGGAGTCATGGTGATGCTGCTTGACCTGCGAGCTCTTTGCCTCTTATCTAAGATTACAGTGACAGCTGTTTATTATTATTTTTACCTCTGTGTGCTCTTGAAGCCAAGCAGGATGGATACTGGAAATGTGAAAGCAATTAAGAAAAAAGTCTTTAATACCGGAATGGGAGAAAATGGGAGCATGGGATGAAGCACAACTCTAGATATCTCTCTGCTCTAGCCACACAAGGATGCTCATGCAGATGCCTCATGCATTGCCTTTTTTATCCTGCATTTTGCTCCAGTTCATCTAGTCTGCCACCATGAGAACAGGATGCTGGACTAGATGGGCTCTTGGCCTGACCCAGCAGGGTCTTGTTATGTCCTTAGGTTATATTCTTTTTTTTTAATAATAATTTTTATTAACCGGCCAATCAAGTCAAATCAAATCACATCACATAAATTCCGAATTACAAAGCCGAATTTTAAATTTTGTTGAGGGGACCCATATTTCAAGATCCGAAGGGGGATTCTGATCATCTTCTTGCTACTGCGTTAATGTCCAAATCAGTCCAAACAAAGTTCATAATTCTATCCAGTCTTATCTTGCTGTTTCCACATCTCATCTTGTTCGTATATTTTCTCTTTTTTCTTTATGATCTCTTCTGATAGTCTCCTTAAGCCGATAAACACCAATAATAATCCTGTGTGAATTTTTCCGTTCTTCCAATCCTCAAATCGAGATCGTTTCCATATATCATCGCCTTCATAGATAACATCACTCTTTCCATCTTTAATTACAGAACTGTCGTTCTTAAGTCCCTCTGAGGAGTTTCACCCACAATATAAAAACAGCTCTATTTCTCTATTTCTCCTCCCAGACTTAAGTCCTCCGACAGAACTTCCCAATATGGCGACGGCACTTTTAACTGCGTCATTCCAAAGCCCTTATACATTCCACGCTCTTCTCAAAACATGCTTTGGTTCGAAAGTTTATCTCCACACAGCCTTAAATCCACAGCTTAAGTCCTTAAAACGACATTTCTGACTTGTGAGGGGGGGGGATTCTTGTTTAATCACATAAAGGAAAGAAAGGAAAGTTTTCCCCCTCCCCATCAGTCCCTTTGCCATACCGAGTCTTGGCGTATCTTCTCATGATTTATACTTGTTCCTCCGACTCGTCTTGTTTTATCAGAGATCTCTTCTGTTAGCAGTCTTTACTCCCCCTCCTTCCTTGAAATATGTGCATTCGCTTCATCCAAATTGTTTCTTTTGAAGTTCTTGCAGCTAGTGGCGCGGATCAGAGACGGCGTCCAGGAGCGCCGAAATCCCACAGGAGGGCATTGTGCCTAGTGCCCCCATCCCCACAAATTCGGGGGGTGGTATAGGGCACAGCAGGCAAGGGCAGACCCCCCCCAATCCTGGGGGGGTAGGGAGGCTATTTACTCCCATCACAGCCTCCAAATTACCTCGTGTGGGTCGGAGAGATGTTATTGTCAGCCATCTTCAGATGCGCCCCTAGTGGCCCCTCATGAATGCCCTTATGCTACATTCTTAAGGTGGTATACATGGGGATCCCAGTAGGTTTCTCAGTCAGGTACTGGGTAGCTTTTTGCTCAGCTTCAGTAGGGTATCTGAATCAGGTGAATTTCAGAGCTATACCTGGACTGGTGTTTCCAAGTTCTACTTTTGATCTGAGTTCATTTTGCTGCTTTGGCAAAGTGTTCTTCAGTCAGTTCAGTCAGTCTGTCTCTCTCATATAGACACACACACACACACACACACACACACACACACTCAGGCTGGATCTAGACACATCAAATAAGTGTTTCAGTTTAAAGCATTGTAAATTTAAACAGGGAAAACAGGTAGAGAAAAACAGGACTCCACATCACCATCCGGTGGCACGAAGTTATATCGCATATACAACTCATATAAATAGCTTTTTCTTTACCAGTCTAGCTGAGTCCTCAATTCCTCACTTTTAACATGGGGATTACGGCCTACCTCATAGGAATTATAGCCAATAAAAGGAAATCGTGTAGCAAGTCATGGGGAAGTCCTTGAAGAGCCACTGTCAGGCTGCGTACACACCATGCATTTAAAGCACATGACTCTCTCCCCCAAGAATCCTGGGAAAGTAAGTTGCGGAGGGTGCTGGGAACTGTAGTTCTGTGAGGGGAAACTATACTTCCCAGGGTTAGTGGGGTGCCTGTGCTTTAAATGTATGGTGTGTACACAGTCGACATTAGAATAAAGAATCCTGAACCCAAAAGCTCAGTTCAAGGCACCTGCCTCTGCTCCTTCAACAAGCTGGTGTTGTTCTGTGGTCTAGCCAAATGTGCAGCCTCAACTTGTCCTTCTAAGAGGCTCATGAAATTGGGGTAGGGAGTGCCCTTCATGCTACAGCAAGTCGGGAGATGGTTGCCTGGCCTAGCGAAGCGAAGCCAGTCATTGTTCTGCCTGTTTATTCAAATGCCTGGGGTGATGTGCCAGCCTCAAACCTGTGAGCCCTTCCGCAATATGCCAGTTGAAGATTACAAGGGCCAGGAACCAGCCAAGAAGTTCCCTAGACACCTGCTCCAAAATCTTCCTCCACACCCAGTCTCATCCCCTGCCCTCCAGGAGAGGGCGAGAAACCAACCAAGATGCTTGGCTGGATTTGCATCAAGGTGAACGAAAGGGCTGTGGCTCAGAGGCAGAACAGCTGTTGTGCATGCAGAAGGTGCTAGGTCCAGTCCCTGGCATCTCCAGGAAGGGCTGGGAGACAATCCCACCTGAAATCTTGGAGATCTACTACCAGTCATTGTCCAACATCTTGAGCTAGGCACACCCAATTGTCTAATGCAGCGTGAGGCACTTTAGTATTTTCCTGGCTGAAACCAAGGATCATGTAGTGAGCCATTTAGTTCCATTGAGAAAGCAAAGGCTATGGAGACAGCTTCGATGTTTATGGTCTTAAAAGGGATTAAAAGCAAAAGTGATGAGGAAAGAGCAATCAACTGGTTAGCTGGGGTGAGCAAGGCTTGAGGCTGACTTTTGGGAGACCTTGGACAGGGAAGTGAAACTGAGGAGGGTTATTTATGCCTTCTTCCCATGGTGCAGGCACGGACAGTTCCCTAAACACTGAAGGCTGAAGTGGCAACACAACTTCCTCTAGAAAGCCACTGCCAGTCTCTTTTTATTTCCTTGTCCTGTATTGGAAATTTCAGTTCACTTTCCATAATGCATGGCTAATCTTTGGCTAACACTGGATTTAGGGCAGTGTGGACAGCTCCACTGCACAGGATGCCAAGCTGAGGGGATGCAAAATAATTTTAAAACTTAAAATGGAATTATTGTGAAAATAAGAAACGGGGGGGGGGGGACACCAAATTTTGTCCTTACTCAGGGCGCCCTATTACTAAAGTCCACCACTGCTTTGGCCTCTGCCTTTTCCAACTGCCTACAGCAGGAATCCAGGCCTGGAATTTTTTTTCTCTTTTTGCAAAGTATTTTAATCCCTCCCCCCACCCAAATCAGCTGTAACTTTGGCCACATTTACACCACACCTATAAAGCACAATGATAGAGTTTGGATTTGATTTGATATCCCGCTTTATCACTACCCGAAGGAGTCTCAAAGTGGCTAACATTCTCCTTTCCCTTCCTCCCCCACAACAAACACTCTGTGAGGTGAGTGGGGCTGAGAGACTTCAGAGAAGTGTGACTGGCCCAAGGTCACCCAGCAGCTGCATGTGGAGGAGCGGAGACGCGAACCCAGTTCCCCAGATTACGAGTCTACCGCTCTTAACCACTACACCACACTGGCACTGATACCACTTTAAACAGCTACAGCTTCCCCCAAAGAATTCTGGAAAGGAACTGCAGTTTGTTAAGAGTCCTGAGAGCTATTCAGCTCTCTGAGAGCTACCCCTATTCCCCTCACAGAACTACAATTTCCAGTGTTCTCTATAAAGAAGGATTGACTGTGAAACCACCCTGGGATTCACAAATGGGATGAGGATTCTACTTGCGGGCCTTCCAAAGGCATCTGCTTGGCCATGTGAGGAAAGGATACTGAATAGATGGTTCTTTGATCGGATCCAGCAGGTCAACTCACTGAGGGATACTGCTCCCGAGAAGGGCCATAGCTCAATGGCAGAGCATCTGCTTTGCATACAGAAAGTCCTAAGTTCAATCCCCGGGTTCTCCAGATAGGGATGGGGAATTTCCCCGAAACAACAAAGTGCCACTGTTAGCCAGTGTAGACCAGACTGTGCCACGTGGACTTGGCACCATATAAAGCAGCTTTCTGGAAAACAAAACAACACATTAGCCCTCTTCATGAGTGTGCCATATGTACAGCAAATGGGGTGGGGGTGGGGTTCTGATGGTTTGAGCCATGTCTCCAGATTTATTGCCATGCTCATTATTGTTATTGTTTGTTATTGTTGCTATTGTTATTTTTTTAACCACCTTCCACATATATATCTCAAAGAAAGGCACAAAACATAATTAAAACAATAACACTAAAAAAAAAATTTATACGCAGATGTATTGTTTATTTCATAAAACTTATATACTGCTTCATTGTAAACCCCCCTACAAAGTAGCTTAATAAAAAAGACAAAACAATAAAATCATCAATAAAAAACTTAACGATAATTAAAACCTTTCAAAAAGTTAAAACTGGAATAGACAAAAAAATGAAGAAGTCTGGCATCGACTTTTTAAGCATCTGACTAGGCTTGTCTAAACAAAAATGTTTTTAGCCTGTGCCAAAAAGAGTGCACCCTCTGGAGGTTGCTGAACTACAACTCTCAACAGCCCTAGGAAGCAAGGGATGATGGGAATTGTAGTTCAGCAACACCTGATGGACCTAAGATTCTGCACACCTGATCTATGCCATGGCCCTGGTCCTAATCACAACCCCCACCCTCATGGCTGTTCTATGGGAAAGACATAGCAATCTGAGCATGTGGAGGGATCTCACCTCTGATCTCTGGTTTTATGTGTTGCTTGTTCAACAAGTTGCAATATACCTTCAGGGAGGAAAGAGGAGGTGGAAGCTCACTGTATGGTGACTTCTGCATTATTTTGGGCATGAGATTCCTATTGTACAGTGGTTTTTGAAGCCAGTGGAGACAGTGGCTGTTGAAGACAGAACCTGAGCAGAAGGCCCCTCTCCCCTACTGTGGCTTCCAGCAACAGGTATTCAGAAGCTTTGCTGCCTCCAGTTGTGGAGGCAGAGCGTAGCCAACATGGCTAGTGTAGGTACAGCAAGTGGCATATAGGTGTGATGCTCTTGGAGGGAAATTTAGTGGCAGGAAGAATTTAAAATAGACTTGGTCATCTGCATTTGTCCACAATAGGCTGCAAATAGCAACACACTTCTGAGGAGAAGATAAGGATGAAAGGATCTTATCCTCGCAATAAGTTTAGTCTGAGACCCAAATGAGCCAAGAACTTACTGAACTTTAGATGCTGTATCTCCGATTTAAGGCCTAGAGCTTGTTTATCATCTGAAATGATAGCAATGACTTCTGCAAGCTTTAGAAACAGACCCATGAACCCACAGGTTCCTTCTGTGCTTCAGGTCAAATACAATAATTTCATAGCATATTTACAGAAACCCGAGAAGGAGCTCTGGGATAAGGAAGGGCATTGCCCGGAATGTTTCGTGCTCAATAAAGATAAGAGTATCAAGGGTTTATTCTGAGGATCAAAGGGAAACGACTGGCAAGGGTTTGTTCCTGTAGACAGGGTGCAAAGTACTGGTAAGGAGGAGAAAAACAGCAAGTGAAAGCACTGGCAAGAAAGGCAGGGTATTGAGACTGGAGATCAAGGCTATGGGGGGTTCATAAGACAGCACTGCTGCATCAGCAAAAGCATTTTGAGAACTATAGGATCATGTGGACAGTGCAAAACAACCACCAACACTACTTTGCATGCATGAGCAGTACCAGTTTCACAATAAACCTCCACCTAGAAGCACCCTTGGCTGCTGTTTCAATGCCAAACCAGGATATGAAAATTGTAACGAAACTGAACTCAGAATAGCAGCGGTGTTCATGGGGACAGATCCTGAGTAAGCCTGATCGGGGCTGCAGGGGTGTGTCGCCTGCTGTCTCTGCATGCCCCAAAGGCGGACGCTTTCTTGCCATCTGCATTTTTAGGGAAATGTATGCAAAGTTATTTTCCTCTTTCGGAGCCTTCAGTCATAGGGTTCAGAGAAGAGAAGAGAAGTGAAGAGAAATGACGCAGAACTTCCACCCATGACAATATTAGCCCTTCCCCAAAGAGAATGTCCAGGGTCTTAAGAATACAGTGATACCTCGGTTTTTAAACATCTCCATTGATGAACATTTTGGTTTTTGAACGCCATAAACCTGGAAGTAAATGCTTCCATTTTCGAACACGCCTTGGAAGTCGAACATGCCACGTGACTTCCGCTGAGTGCAAGATCCTGAGGCCTGGCTGTCGGCTATTGAGTTTTTGGTTTTTGAATGTTTCAGAACTTGAACAGTCTTCCAGAATGGATTACGTTCGAAAACCGAGGTACCACTGTACAGTGATATAAGCTGACTCATGGCTGCAAATGGGCACGAATGAAGCTGGCATTTATACTGAAAGCTCGTGAAGAAAACTACCGAGTCATGGAGCATTTTTATTTTTTACTTTTATAAACACAACAAGCCATTAAAAGAAAAAACGTCAAAAATATTGTAAAGTTGCCTAGTTTCATAGCTTTAGTGCTGAATTCTTATAATTCCACAGCCTTTGACCCTACCCTCCAGGAGTGAGCTTTCTATTATCAGGATTTTTTTCCCACATCCTGCAGCAACACAAGCAGGAACCTGCCCCGTGGCAGCTGGAGAAAGCAACCCATCTATTCTTAGCAAAAAGAACTCCTGGACAGCTTGGCAAAAACCTTCCATTCCCCTAACCCTTACTATTGAGCCTCCTTGCTCATTAAGGTCTTCAGCAGAGGTTCCCATAGGTGTTCCACCAACCTAGCAACACAGGAAGCTGCCTTATACAGACTCAGACCATTGGTCCACCAAGCTCAGTATTTTCTACAGCCCCTTTCATCAGTCTGGTTTGCTCCAGAGGTTGTGGACTCCAGTGCCCAGCATCCGCAGCCAGCAGGGCCAATGGACGGGAATCAGGACCATTAGGTGGAGTGAGGCTGCTGCCTCAGGCAGCAGAAGTCCCAAAGGCAGTGCCTCCACAGATGCCCCCACCCCCAGCATTGATGCCAAGCTCAGGTGAGATATTGCAATAACTGCATGAGATCTTGCAGTTATTGCCCAAAATCGGCGCTGGCTGGCATCAGGGCAGAGCAGCCCTTACTGATTTGCTTCAAGTGACAAAATGGGATGCACCACCACCCTGGTCAGGAATGATGGGGATTGTAGTCCAAAGCAGCTGGAAGTTGCCACCTTGGCTCTCCTCAGTGTATGTGCTTTGCCACTGAGCTACAGTTCTTCTCACACCTGACATATGATTGGCTGGAACCAATGAGAGGGTCTTTCTTTCTCTTGGGAAGATATTCTCTGGGATATCTTCCCAAGGGAGGCCCACCTTACTCCCTTCTTTGGCAGTCTTCTGCTGATGCCTGAAGCTGGTGCAGCAAAGGGGAATCAAATGAAAGAAATACCTCTGCTCTGGCTGATGAAAGTGACAGGACTTTGAATGCAGCCCATCAACCCACCGCTTTGCCCCACTGCTCTCAGGTTGGGCTCTGGGTTCTCTACCTCTGCTTAACCTGTGGCAGCTTTGACTACCTCTTGTGTTTTTAAACTCCTGGATTTCTGATATGCCTCTTGGTTTCATTTGTTCTTTTGTCTCTGTGTCTTAGAGTGGTTTTGGTTATGTAATGCAAAACTGCTTTGGATATTTCAATAGAAAAATGGTATATAAGTATTTTAAAATAAACAAATAAGTGTTGCATCTGGCTGATGCCCATTTTGCATGGGCCTCCATGTCTTTTCTATGCCCCAGCTCAAGATCCAGAGGCTTTCATCTAAGGTGGACCTGGTCTCCCTTCTCCTTTGCCGTCTCTCCAAGACAGCAATGTAACTGATCTTAGAATCATAGAATTGGAAGGGACCATGAGGATCATCTAGTCCAGCCCCCAGCAATACAGGAATCTTTTACCCAATGTTGGCTTAAACCACGACCCTGAAATTAAGAGTCTCGCGCTCTGCCAACTGAGCTACCCCAGCTTGTTTGGCTTCTGCATATCTGAAGGTAACTGTGGCACCAGGACAAGAGGGAGAGATGCACATTTGTGCCTGGTTTATTATGATGCCAGATCCTGTTATTCATTTAATTGACAGTGTGGCTCATAAGAGCGATATGCAAGCAAGTACCAGCAAAGTATTATGAAATTCCAGGAGGGGCAGGGGGAGATTCATAACTAAGCTTTGAATGCCAACAGAATGTTATGAATGTGCTGTCAAAACACGCAACCCACTTTTATCACTGCTTGGAAGACTCTGCTGGATAATTTTAACTTTTATGGGGTTACACAGCAGATTTTTTTTTAAAATATTGTGAGCATTTCAATCAACAGAGTCAAGTCCCTTTTAAAAAAAAAAATATATGTAAAACTATAGCTATTTTTGTAACCCTATCTAAGTTTTGGGAATAGGATAGTTTCTAAATATGAATGAAGGCTTATTATATTAGCATCATTCATGTTGGGACCAAAAGATCAGCCACTCCCCCTTCCGTTAGGAAATGGACCTGGGGACCCACATCAGGAAGCAATATAGGGGGCAAAATGCCTATGCTATCTGTTTCTACAAAAATAGTTGAAACACCTTCAAACTTTTCATCAGTGGCATCTGACGCCATAAGGGTGTCATTTACCCATCAACTTCCCCTCTCTTTTGGAGCCAATGTAGTGAAGTTGGGACTGTATTCCAAATATGGTGGATCTGCAATAAGATACGGACATTTCAGATGAAAGTCTTTAATGAAATAAGTCTCATTACACAACAAAAAAATCTGATGTACACCTCAGTTGGCTTTACTGACTATTTTCCATAATGAACAAAAGGATTTGCAGTTCAAATAATTTTTTAATGTTTCTTCTTTTGCCTACACAGCAACTACTGGTGCCAAATTGGAAAAACCTGGAAAAGCTATGATTTTCCCAATGGACAGCGGAATTAATGGGAAAGCTCATTCAATGTGTGAGAGCTTTGAATGTCAATCAGGACTCTGATGGCTTTATGGAAATATGTTGCCCTTTTACAACCTTTTCAGCTGGCCACACCACAGCTTCCCATCCTTCACATTCACATGATCAATTGGGGTGCAATGCATTTCCATTGATGATGGTGTCAGCTGCTCATTTTGGAGGCAGGAGTTGGGGGTTTGTTGCTATGATTCCTTTCGTTCTTTTTACTACTTTGTTTGTCACAGCATATTGAAACTCAATGAAAAACATATTTAAAAGAGAGAGCGCATTTCCTCATTCTGTTATCAGGAGAAAGGCTAATAAAAAAGATAAACATTACCAGGATGCCTGGAATATGCCAGCACACTGTCTGTATTCCCAGCAGCCCTCACAAGGTGACAGACCTTCTAAAATACTTTCACAAGTATTTTGTGTACCTTATGAAGGGGGGTAAGTTTAGGTGTCCAATAACTCACTGATTGGGTGTCCATGTGTGCTATTATGAGAAGATGCTAGAGCAACCTTCCCGAGCTCCCAGATGATTTTTGACTACAACTCTCATCAGCCCCAATCAGCATGGTCAATGGTCAGGGATGATGGAAGCTGTATTTCAGCAAAATCTGGAGGACCACATGTTCCCATCCCTGTGACAGAACAGCGGTCTTCCATTTTTCAGAAGGCTCCACCTTTAATCCCAACTTTAACGTGGGATGTGTATTTTTTTTTTAACTATTCCTTCTCTCTCCTTCCTCATACAGCTGATCTATGACACCATGAAAGTACTTACTTCTGTCATTATGAAGACTCCCCCACCCCAAAAAACTTTTTTTTCCAATAAATGATCGCAGTCCCACACATATGACCCATTTTAGGATTGTTTGCAAGCCAGTTATAAGTCACTCACGCAACCCACCAGTTGAAATGCCAGTCACAGTGCTAAAGCATGAAAACGGAACCAGGAAGTCCTGAAATCCCACAATTGAGCAATGATGGATGCAAGTCTAGTCCGCCGGCAGACCACCTCTCAGCTCAGGTGACCAGTCTAGAGATCAAGGCATGATAAACCAATGACTCAAACCATTGCGTGCAATGCTTGCTCCTTGGAGACTCTCTGCCCAGGTGACCTCACTGACCTTGTGAAACTTTTCCAAATTTAGTTAACAGACGTGGGTGTGTGGTTGTGCAATTCCCCTTTTTAAATAAAGTAGCAATGATGCTGAACATACAGTGACATGTATAACTGCAAAAAGCAAGAGCATTACTGGGTCCTTTTATATGTGTGTGTTTTTTTAAAAAAAATTAAACAATACCCTAGATGACACTTTACTAGTGATAGAGAGCAGGGGTAGTGCAATCGGTTCCCCCACACTGGGCATTGAGCTGGGGGGGGGGGCATTGCAACTATTATTATTAAATTTGTATATTACTCATAGATCTCAGGGCAGTTCACAACATAAAAATACAACATAAAAAACCACACAAAATACATGATTAAAAACAAAGACAACCCAACAATTTCCCAATAATAATGATGTAGTGCACATACAGAATGGAAGGTGGGGGGGCACTGAATTTTGGCCTTGCATGAGGTGTCACTGAACCTTGAAAGACCAAAGTCCACCCCTGTGAAGAGGGCTCACACCGGGCTGCAGCATGGATTTGTGGGTTGAGAAAGGGCAACCTTAGGGCCAAGATTAAAGACTAGCTGTCCCCCAAATCTCTAGTTCATGCCACAAGCTTAGCCACCAAAACAATGTTGCACTGTTTTTGTCCACAACCTGGAAACATGGGGAAACTCTTTTTTAAAAAGAAAACAATGCTAGTTTGTCACTGGTAGCATTTATTCCACTGCTTCATAAGGTACACAAAATCTGTGCTGCTTCATGAAATGCAAAGCTACTGCCGTTGTTATTTGTGCGTGGAATTGCCTCCTCAGGACATGCTGTGGTCATGCATGTCTGCAAACCACAGGGCCTCTTGCTCATGCCTCGCTGTATCCTCTGAGGGGGCCAACTTGAGACATGACAAAGTCAGCTTCAGGCCCTTGCAGATGGCTGGGTTCACACTGGCTACCTTGTCAAAGAGACCATGCATGGGTGTGGCACACATCCTGTGGTTAAGTCAATTCATGTCTCCTTTTGCCAGGTGAGAGCAGCTGGCAGCCTGGAGCTGTAGGGAATGAGGTTAGTGAGCATCCTAGGTATCTGTTCCGCAAACAGAATGGCAGCTGGTTGGCCTCCTCTCCTCAATAAATATTTGTGAATCCTGTGCGTATTGTATACAAAAGATGGGGCCGAGAGACTGGTGCTTTGCTCCTTGCAATCACCAGCGCCATACCACAACCTGCTGGGCAATGCAGTAACCTTAAATGCCCCAGTGAAGTGGAAAGCAAGGCAACTGTGGCTTCTCATTCTGTCCGGCTCCTTTTATGCAACCCATCCTTGATGCTTTTAAGGCAGGTTTCCACCCCAAAGAGGAACCCCCTCATTTCGGTGTGCAGAAATAGAGTGGGATGGCGGCTCTTTGCTTATCTTGTCAAGTCCCAGAAATTAGAACTTGGCAATGTCAGCTAAAAGGTATAGAAGGAAACTGAAGAAGACCTATAGCATGGCACTATATGCTATGGAGAACCTGTGAAAGATCTAGGCAGTCTGGACTGACTACCCAGAAGAGGACTGGTCTTCTGGATAGTTCAGCTGGTTAGAGCATGGTGATGATAATACCAAAGTTCGCTCCCCATATGGTTCAGTCCCCGTATGGGATTGCTGCATATTCCTGAATTGCAGAGGGTTGGACTAGATGATCCTCAGTGTCCTTTCCAACTCTTCAATTTTATGATTCATTTCCCAGGTCTGGCTATGTATCAAATCTGTTTTTGTTTTTTTTTAATATATCCAAAGCTCTAGGATGGAGGCCTTACAAACAGCCCCAAATAAGATGGATTGTACTGTAACTCAATGATTTGCATTTTTAGGGTGAAACTACCTAAAGTTCTATGAGTATTTTTTTTTTAAGAAAAAGACTTCTGCCATTGATCACTGTGGCAGCAAGGAGGAAATGGAGGTCAGTGGCTGATCACCTAAATGTAACCATTCAGTTCATTCTATTTTTAATTACCAGTCTGGCTTATCCTGTTACTAAAAATGGAATGCCATCCTCTTCTAGGGGAGGCAAATTTGGATGGTTATTTCCATACTCTGCAGTTTCTGAACTCACAAGACTTGCTTGCAGGGACTTGCAACCACATGTTGCCTAATAATCAACAACAAGCAGCTTATGGTTCTATTGACATTTATAGGTTGATCTGCCAGGTATGTTATCTCTGAAACACCTATCTAAATAGCTATGATCAATGGAATATGCGATGAAGCCTTGAGGTCAGATATCAGTGTCTGAGCCTTGCTCACACAAATTGTTTGTTGAAGCATTTATATGCCGCCCTGGATCCTGGAAGCAAAAGGCTCTTGCTAGATTGCTTTCAACATTCTGCCCTGCCCTGGGAAGATGATCAAAGCCTTTTCTTGCTCTGTTACATCCTTTCCCAGCAGCTGTGGAACTTAAGTGACATGCTGTCAGTAGTCAAAGAATATTCAAAGCGGGAAATTTTCTGTCCTGAGATCTACAAAGGAAGTCAATAATCAAAGAAGGAATACTGAAAACTACTTTAAACAAATAAAAAAACCCCACCATGTTGGAAGCAACATCTGACATCTCTGTCCCATCCTCACCCCCATCCTTATTATTTCACTCTGTCAAATTAACACACCGGTATCTTTGATATACAGTTTGTCTCTAGATCTAGCCAAAGATCAACCCAGTGCTAAATGCAGAATTCATGTGACATGGAGCAATTTGCTCAGTATCACTCCCCCCCCCCCCCCGGGAACCTCTAGAAAGGGATTGTTTATTTATGCCAATTCACATTTTCACAGCCCCAATCCTCACCAGTTCAATGGGGCTTGCTCCCAGTCCCAGATAAGGAGACACAGGGTGCAGAGTAAGTTACATGATCCAAGTTTGGAGAGGAATATTTTGGCACCATAACAAGATACTGAGCCAACAAATAGAACTGAATAAGCATGATGCACTGGTAAAAGATGGAGATTCTCCCATACGCGCCATCCAAAAGGAAAGAGGTGATTTATCTGAAAGCATATGAAATCTCTTCTTACCTTACTTCCCAGGAAAGAACTGGAGGCAAAGGCTGTTCTCACACATGAGATATACAGGTACATGGAGCACAACTCTGTGTTTGTGCAGTCTTCCAGTCACAGATTTGTAGAGTTGGGAGGGACCACAAAGATCATCTAGTCCAAGCTGATGGATTCCAGGAATCTTTCACCCAATGTGGGGCTCGAACCCACAACCCAGAGAGAAAGAGTCTCATGCTGTACCACCTGAGCTATCCCTTCTAGGCTGACCTTGCCTTGTACACCACCGTGATGCAAGTGTAAAAGGTCGCGTTTTGGAATGAATAAACAAATTAATTAATTAGAGACACTTCTGCAGATATTTGGGTCCCAAGCCTTCAAAATGGCTCAGAAATGAATAGGGGTCAATGTAGTGAAGCAACAGGTATCTATGACAGGTACACACTGACGCAATACAGCCATTCAAAATTCAGTGCCGTATAAAAGAAAGAGGCAAGGGCTTCTATTCAGCTCTTGTACAGCTGAAAGTCATTCTCTCTAATCCTAGAAGGAAATGGAGAACTAGATGTGATTGAGAACTTAAGAAAAGCCCTTCTGGATCAGATAAAAAGCCCATTCTAGCCCAGCACCCTGTTCTCACCACGACCAACCACGTCCCTCAAGTTTCCCTTCTGGTGGGATAAAACTCACTCCGCAGGTTCAGTAGCAGCTTCTGATAGCTTGGTTGGCTAGTGCGTGGTGCTGATAATGCCAAGGTTGCAGGTTCAATCCGTGTATGGGTGTCAGGCTTCAGGGAATCTGATCCCTCCCATGGTGGGCAGCCAAGGCTTAGATCAACCAAGTCTTTTATTCAATATTCACAGAGAGAGAGACGTAGAAATGCCATCTCTCTTGGATAATGGCATTGCTCCAAGTAAAGTCCCACCCCCTCTGTCTCTCCTATTATACGTCATCCCTGCATCAGCTGATCTGTGCTTTCTGCCTCTGAGCTTTCTGCTCTCCTACTCTCAATGCCCGCCGGGCCCTGGCAGAGGGGGCGGGGGGTCAGGAATGCTTTCTAAAGACACTGAATCTGACCGCTGTCTCCCCCTGGTGCTTTTTCTTCCTCCTGCTCCTCTCCTAATATTTCCCAGCTTCTCCCCTCTGCAACCTTTGAACTATGACTTTCTGTTGTAAACCTATACTGTCCTCCACTTCTTGGGAAGGTTCAGGAGGAGGGGGGTGGTCTCCACTGTTCCTCATCAGTCCATTCCCTGACAATGGGGCAGCTGCATATTCATGCATTGCAGGGGGTTGGACAAGGTGATCTTCAGGGTCCCTTCCAACCCTACAATTCTATTATCCTATGATTCTTTAGTGTTCTGAAGCAGCACAGCCTGAAGCAGGCAGACAGGAGTGATGGCCTGTCTGAAGAATAGCAGAACCATAGATTTTTACAGCTGGAGGGCACCACAGAGGTCCAGTAGCTCAGTCATCCTAGACAGATAGCCATCAAGCTTTCGCTTAGATATCTCCAGGGAAGGAGAACCTACCCAACCAGAAGCTGTCTCAGCATCCACCCACAGCCTTGAGCTAACTAACATGATGCTCTCCAGACGTTGCTGAACTCCAGCTCCCATCAGCCCTGGCTCTTGGCCCTGCTGGCTGGAGCTGAGGGGAGCTGGAATACCAAAAGCACCCAGAGGGAACCATGTTGTCTACCTCTGGCCTAGAAGCTCACAGCATGGTTTTTGTTTTATTGTGACGCGGTGAAGTTTGCACTTCGTTACAAGGATCAAAGGTTCCCCCCCCCCACCTGCCTCCAGTTGGGGTTACATAAAGTGAAACCTGAAGAAATATATTGAGCCTACCAAAGCTATATAGAAATCATGGTTCACAGCAAAAACAAAGCAGGCTTGCAGAATGCGGCTCACCTTGACTCAGCCATTCCTGGCATGCCAGCACGAAGTAAAGTTCAGATAAGCGTATTTGTGATTAAACGAACGCACGTAAGATTTCGTGAGCTTACTGAGTGACACAAAGGGAGGTCAGCATCACCTGACTGGGCAGCTGGCATTTAGCTCCCTTGCCATCTGAGCAGCTGGCACTAACTTTCACTTAGCAGTTATTTGAGGCAGCTGTGTGCTTTTCATGCACGAGCTTGGAATTTGACTCTGGGCAGTCGCCCATTACCTCTCTGCCCCCATCCCTGATTGGCCTACTTTTACACTCCTTTACCTGAAGAGCTGTCTGAGGGTAGTCCTCTCTTTGAAGGACTGTGCAGTCCAAGTCTCTGTTGGGGCGGCGGCAGGAATTTGAAATACTCTCTCACACACAAACTTGTTTCTCTGTCTGGAAAATGGCCTATTAACACTTTGCACCTAAGCAGCTAACTGAGCAGGCCCATAGATCATCTGGTAACAGTCTTCCCTGTTATGCTGGTATGCTTATCTAATTAAGTTGTAGAAATCATATCTAAACTTGCATCTACACAATTAGCTAATTAATCATAGAATCATAAAATTGTAGAGTTGGAAGGGACCACAAGGGTCATTTAGTCTAACTGCCCGCAATGAAGGAATCTTTTTGCCCAATGTGGGACTCAAACCAACAACCCTAAGATTAAGAGTCTCATGCTCTACCAACTGAGCTATCCCAGATTGTGTTATATCAATTAGCATCTGCAAGTTGTATGCAAATATTGCTTTCTTTTGTCCACTGTTTTGGTTGTGCATTTTCTGTCTTTTTTGGCAACGTGTAAGAGATCACTCCTGCCCCACCGGTTTCCAGACAAGCCCCCCCCCATATGGTCAGCTGACTGTTTTCAATAGACCACACATCCAAAACAAACATATGCACTGACCTCTACATTTCTCTGTCATCCATAAACACGTGCAAGGAAGGAGAAAGAGCACTCCCTGATCTCTCCATTTCTCTGTCATCCAGACACGTGTAGCAACACCAAGCAGAAAAGAAAAGGCACAAATACCTAAGATTAATGCAGGATCTAGTATTCAAAAGGCATATATCTCATCAAAAGTAGATGATTCACCTTCCTGCCATTTGCCCAGGGCAACTGAAGGCTACTCTCTCACACACAAACTTGTTTCTCTGTCTGGAAATTCTCCTCCTGAGTCAAGCACAATAATGAGTGGGATTATCAAAAGGGATACAGATGCCACTCTGTTTCACATTATGGCACAATCCTATACATGCCTACTCAGAAGTAAGTCTCATTAAGTTCAGCAGCAGCAGGGGTTATTCCCAAGCAGGTGGGTATTGGATTGCAGCCTTTTCCCTCTCTCTTTGAGCCTCACATCAAATTGTGAGGTTTTGAAAATTACAAGGACCAGGCATGTTTCCTTCAGCAAGGCTGGTAAGAGAAAGTGCTTGCTTAAGTCTATATTTTAAACTATTACTGATGACACTCTAGTGTCTAGACATACTGGCTGAGGTTCTGGCTGGTGCAGTTGCATATCTCAAAGTCTGAGATTGTGGTGTGAAAGCCGGCAGGCAGTAGCAGAAAGGGTTGCAGTGCCCATTTTAAAGTTGAAAGAAATGATGAGAAAAAAGGGGGGTAAAAGTGGCATGACTATGTTTGCATTGAGGAATCTGTGGCAGAGCCAAATATCTCTGCCATATTCCACCTGGGTCTCCAGTGCTAAACCAGGCTCCCAATGAACTATGACATAAACGGCATAGAACAGGTAAGTTCACTTACCTCTTCCAGAGATGGTCATTCTGCATATCTCACTGTGTCAGAAGACCCCCAAGGTAGCAGCCCTGTGAATGTCCTACTAACTTCATCACCAGCGCAGAAGTGCCTCCGATATCAGTGCTGACTTGGGTTAATATCATGTCTGAAATCACCCAAATTGGGTGAGATCTCACCCAAAATTGTAGGGTGTGTGGAGAAGTGGCAGCAGCAGCAGGTCAAGAAAAGGCAGCACATCCCATTTCACCTCAAGCATCAAAACAGTATCCTTATGAGCCTGCATCCTCATAAGTATTTCCCACTGAGCTCAACATGTTCAGCAGTGCATCTCCAAAATACAATGGGAGATAAAGGCTGCTGAAAACAAGGGCACAAGGTGTATATTCTGTTCCCACTAACCTTACGCACTGTTATGTTGATATTTCAGCTCAACTGTGGAGTAAAACGGAAGCCTCAGCCTTCCAACCTTTTGCTGCAAGGTGTCCCATATTATTCTTATCACACAGTTTAGAGAAGACCAGAGGTGGATGGAGTTGGAAAGCATATAATGAAAACATGTGACTAATACTATGTCCTCCCCACTGCAGCATGGATTATTTTTAAAACATTGTGGTGTGTTAGCAGTGATGGTATTGTTATTGTTGGAGAAATCTGTTCTTTCCTGTCCTTCCTGTGATTGCAGAGTCCTGGTAAATTCAGGCTGACTCCACCCAGGCATTGAATCATCGCCAGTCCATCATGTTGAGCTTACCACTTGGCATATTTTATTTTTGCATGGAAATGCCTCATCTAGAGTGACCTGGTAGTTTAGCCTTCCGCAAATCTGGTGCCCTCCAGAAGTTTTAGACTACAAGACCTATCATTGGGGCTGATGGGAGTTGGAGTCCAAAACATCTGGAAGGCACCAGGTTTGGTGGAGTCTGTGCTAGTTAGACCCCCAAATTCAAGCCTGAAGTGTGAAGCGCTCAGAAAGATCTTTCAACATAATCTAGACTCTGGAAAAGGTATTTAGGAGTATATAAAGCAACCAGTTGAAAGATGGGTTCTTGCCCTTTCTGGCAGGTAAGAGTTAAACAGGTGAGGTGGGAGTTACCTTTTTATTAGCAAGAACACAATCTGCACAGGATTGGTGAAGTGTCAGGCCTAATGAGCACAGCAGCTCATCCCTTGTAGGTCTTGCCCCATGGATCAGTTGCTGAGACTGAAAGTTCCTGCCTCCCCACAGCTGTCCCAAGCAAGCAAAGACTATACTTGTGTGCAGCCAACCTCTCCTTCGCCCTTTTCATGCCTCTTTTGGTTCTGGGAGACCAGTGGGGAGATAAGTTTGTAGCAGCAGGAGGGGGAGACACCAGCCTGACTCATCTCTGCCTCTTGACCACCCTCCTCCCCTGCTTCAGCTTCTGCCTCTGATTCTGGGCTTCTGTCTACCACAGACTCTCCCAGCTCACTAAGCCATGTTACCTCTTCAGTTTCTGATACCTCCTCCTCCCAGTTTCCTTCCTCTTCTCCTTCTGACCACCCATCATCATCCCACCATCAATCCCCAGGCTCTGAGCTTTCTTCCCTTGGTGGTTCCCCAGTTGGTTCCTCTCATCATTCCTCTGTGCCCAACCAGTCCATGACAGGCCCCTTTGTCCATTATTATGACATTCCTACACGAAAATACTAAGCCAGAATATACAGATATATGGCCAGTAGGATGGTGGCATCTTTCTCTTTCTCTCAACACACACTCCCTTCAACTGCTCATCCAGCCTACATCCTGCAGTCTCAGAGATTACTCACTCTTTAGTCATGACTGTTAACCAGTGGGGCTGGTACACATCCAGACAGGTAGGGTGGAAAGCAGAGAAGCCAATGGGAGATAGAGACAGAGGCAATGACAGACTGAGCCTACTAATACTCATTTTGTTCCCATCCTCCTCCCTGCTGTGCTGTACAAGGGCAACACATAGATTAAGCATCAGGAAGCTCATAGCCATGGCTTCTCTCTAGACTGAATGTGTGGGTAAGAAGGCAAGCATTTGGGAGCTGGCTGGGAACAGACTGAGGTGGGTGCAGTGCTCCATTTGTCACAATAGACTAGCCTCCACTGCTGGTAACAGGATGGGAGATTGGGCAAGGAGAAGCAAGGCATATACAGGGCAATCAGGATCAGTTGGTAAGGCAGTGCAGGTGGGACACTGCTATTCTCCCAGCTTTTCCAACACAGTGGGTTGCTGCCATTTCCAAAGAGGAAGAGGGGAGACATGGGGAGCTTGGTGCAGTGCATGGCAGGCGAGCCAACCCGCCACTTCCACTACCACACAACTCAGCATCACCCCAAGCTCTCTGTGCCTCTCCCTCTCAGGAAACACTAGCGACCCGCAGTGTTGGGAAGCCAGGAGAGCAGTGGTACCCTACCTGCATCAACTCACCAGCGGCTACTGAGGAGGATAAAGGAAATGTTAATTATTTATTAGGGAATTAAGGCAGCAACCCTATAGCCACTTATTTGGGTGGAAGTAAGTCTCACCAAACTCAGTGGGAATCACTTCCGAGCAGATACGTATGGGATTGCACTGTATGTATCCTATGTGTTTCAAGCAGGAGCTCTGCACCGGAAATCAAGGCAAAGCTTGGGCCCATAAGTTTATACCGTGGTGGAGACCCCATTAACCCACATATTACAATATACATAGAAACACACAGACACACATTCATCTCTGTTCAGGTGTCCCTGAGTTAGATTGCTTGAAAATGCAGTTTAAAGCTGATGGTGAACCCCATTCAGGCTGCAATCCCATACTGACTTGCCTAGGAGTAAACCACATTGACCCTAGTGGAACATATTTCTGGGTAAACTTGCATTGGGTTTTTAGGACTGAACTTCTACCTGGGCTCAGCCTTCAAGATGAGACAGGCTAGAAATTAAAACAAATAGATATGGCTACTTCTCTTCCGTGAACCCTGGGTGCAATGTGCTGGGAGCTCCCATTGTCTTGCTCTCAGTGACCTTGGAAAAGAGATCTTAATCAGCCTGTCTTTCTCATAGACCGAGATGACTACTTTAATGGAATGGAGAAGCCTGGGTGAAATTTTCCCAGCCACAGGAACCAAGTATGCTTTCTAGTGGTGCCTTTCTATGCTGTGCCATTTTTGTGGCAGCTGCCATCAACCGAGGGGTGGAGTTCCCTACAAAAGTTCTGCCACAAAAGAGGAAAAAAGAAAACTATGAACTCAGTGGAAAATCTTTGTTGTTATGCAAACAGCAGAGATGATGGGCAAGTCACATAGCTGTATATGTTTTTTAACTTGCTCACACATGGCCCTGTTTATAGCTGCTGCACGTGAGGTCAGAATGTCATCAGGAGTCCATGGCTCAAAACTGCTCTCGCTCTCCCTCTCCCCCTCTCTGTTAGATGTGCCCTCTGTTCTCATGCACTGCAAAATGATGACAAGAGTGGCTGGTGGACCACTGTTCCCCCTTTCCACCCTGCTTGCTCAACAAGTTTTTGATTTAGACATTGTGCAAAGCCACATTGGTACTCAACTCTGGCTTACAGCCTTTAAATTAAGGGGTAGGGGAGAAATTCAGTGGAATCTCCATTTTAATGCAGATCTACACACTTCCTGAAACAATACAAGAACCCACAACACAGCTTCCTTCCAAAGTTTTCCTTCTCTGAATTTTGCACTGCAGTTGACCAACCAAAAACGACACAAATGTTAGGGGAAAGTGCGCATGAAATGCATATTATTGGGGGAATGCAAAAATGCATTAGGGAAAATTGCTCACAAGAATCTCTGTGTTGCGCAGAACTGCATGCAAAGATGTATTTTAGGAGAAATGTACACTAAAGTGATGAAGAGTTTTCATGAGGACTTAAAATCACAAAATGATGCAGAAATGTGGAGACTTAAACTCAATATGGGGAAAATGATGAACTAAGAGAAACTGAATTT